ACTCAGGCTTTCTCTCTTGCAGGGGCGCTGTGTTGGAGTGGTCTCGGTTCCCATCCACTGCAGCCTTGTAGGAACCTGTGAAGGACTGTATGCTATTTCAAACCTACTGACCCCTTGGCCCCCAAAGGCCTTCAGTCAGTTATTGAGGAAGAGGAAGTAATGCTCTGTTATTTCCTGGGAAAGAGGAATGAAGACTCTAATATTTCCATACAGTTTGGCTCATGTGGCAGTTAACTAGGAACATTTGGTGGTATTTTGCTACTGGTACCATAAGTTGGAAGTAAAGGTCTTTGGAAGTCTTAGGGAACCTAGAAGCTTTGTAAAACCTACCTTGTATTTGTTCAGATCCAAGATTTATTTCACTGTTTTTTCCACTTAAATAAGGTAAAAACTGGAGAACTGCCCCCTTCTCAGTGGCCTCCATCTTTCTCCTTTGATTCGGGGAAACCCTTTCATACTCTCATAGTGTTTTCTTTTCCCTTTGAGCAATTAATACTAAAAATTACAGATAGTTACTGGAAGCCTAGTGATAGCTGCCAGTCTTTTACTTTTTATTCTATGTTTCCTAAAATTGTAGCTTTCAGGATACCATCCTTATGGTCAGGGTGTATTTGTTGTCTCATCTTTAAGTTTTGTTCACTTACCTGTATTAGTTGATTTTTATAATTTAAACATATACATGAATTCCATCACCCGCAAGTTGCTTTCTCTGAGAGAACTCTAGAGTCAGACTGCCTAGGTTTGCATCCTAACTCCGACACACCAGATTGTGACCTTGAGCAAGTCACTTAACCTGTCGGCTTTAGTATAACATTATCTGTAAAAGGAGGATGATAGTTGTGCATCCTCACAGGTAGAGAAGATGAAATGAGTTAATTTATGTAAAAAATGTTGAATATTATTATCTTTACTGTAGTGACCTTAGGTTTTTCAAGCTTAAGCTAATACTTTGGTTAAATTTGGGTCAAAGGAATGTTATTGGAAAAGAAGCCAAACTGTATAAAATAATTTAAAGAGGTTTATTCTGAGCCAAATTTGAGGACCATGGCCCAGAGCTATATGCCGAAGAAGCCTTGAGCAAGTGGACTTGCAGAGGTTGGGTTACAGTTTGGTTTTATACATTTCAGGGAGACAGGACTTACACATAAATCAGTACATGGAAGGTGTACATTGGTTTGGCCCAAAGAGGGGAGCTGACAGGTTATAGGTGGGTTTAAAGAATCTTTGATTTGTAATTGATTAAAGAAATGGAGGTTTGTCTAAAGGTTTGGAATGTTTTAAGATAAGGAAGTCTGTTGATTTGAGATAAGCTATCAGACATATATACCCAGACTCAAGTGATCTGTTAAGTAAACTGATGACCTGTAGCTGTGATTTAAGTTTTGTCTTGTATAGCCTTGGGCCTGTCAATGAGTTACAAAGGATATCTCCAAGAAGAGAGTGGGGCATGATGAAGCATGTCTGACTTCCCTTCTCAAGGCCAGCAACTCTGCTTTAGGGTATTTCTGGGGTCCCCTTGGCCAAGAGGGAGTCCATTCAGTCAGCTGGGCGGGGGGAGCTTAAGATTTTATTTTAGTTCACAGGAACAAAAAGTTACACAACAAAAATCCATCTTTTTTTCCATCATGGTAAATTCAGTAATTTAATCCATGAAATGTTAACCAAGTATTTGAGGTTTCTTGAGATTGTCGAATGACTCTTAGTGTTCTGGAAAAGTAGGTGGATATTATTCATTCGCATATTTATTTATAGGTCCCTTTTTACTTTATTACTCCTAGATTGTTAGAGAACAGGGAAGGTGTTTTAAAATGTATACACAAAATTGTTTGGAGGGAAAGGTGAAAGAAGACCCATTATAGGTAGGAATTTAGACAGCAGCCAACTGTAGGCATGGATATAACCCATCTCAGCAGAGCTGGCAATTAAATGATCAACTAGCTCTTGAAGGAACAAAGAATCTTTAAACTGCATCTTGTGGAAGAATAGCAAGTGAGCTTCTGTTGTGCATATTAACAAAGTAAAAGGCCTCGAGGACACAGGTGCAAGGTGGTTTGTGGCCTTGGTGTACTCCCAAATGGTGCTGCGGCCAGTGGGAGCGAACAACTTTTATAGATCAGGGAAGGCGGAGCTGTGAGTGATTCTCTTTTATATACCTGGCATCAGGAAGCTATGCAGAGTTGTGAATCTTACCTATCCAATTCATTAATGAGTTATCAAATAAATCCCCTTTCCAAGATATCATAGTATCTAGAAGCAGCTTCTGGGCTAGGGTCCCATGTAAGGCCCCTCTCCCCATCTTCTTCCTCTTCCGAGTTAGGATTATTTTTTTTTCTTTACTGAACAGCTACAGTGCACCGCAGAGATGCACTGAATCTCATTTCCATTTCCTACACTACAGTCTTGTTAACTGATTTTTTTTTTTTTATCTTGTCCTGTTGTATTTGCATGATGTGTGGATTTTCATTCAGCTTCTCAACAGTCTTTTCATAGTTTCCATTCTTCCAGGGAAAGATTTCATTTGACTCACCCTTGAACCAATTTTATGGAAATCATCTGCTTGGAATAAGGACAGGCTCTGAGTGGGGGTCTGAATGCATGCAACTCCGTGCTCATTGTCCTCCGCCTGAGAGGGGAAGGGCCTCTTTTGATGGATGGAGATTAATGGAGGGATCTTTCTTGAAAGGGAGATGCAGGGTATCATTTGAGAGAGTTAACTTTTTTCCCTCCTGGTGGCTATGGGAGGGGGCACAGTCTCTGTTCTTATCCTCATGTTGTGTGGAGATGCCCTTTCTAAAAGCTAGACAGAATATCACATTATTTAGTAAGATTTTAATTTCTTTAGAAACACATCCACATTCTTTAGAAACCAACCTTAGCTTACTGTAACTTTTTTTTAACTTTAAAAACTTCTTAATCTTTTTAACTTTTTGACTCTTATAATAACACTTAGCATAAAACACAAACGCATTGTACAGCTGCTAACTTTTTGACTTTTTTGTAATACACTTAGCATAAAACACAAACACGTCATACAGCTATACAAAAATTTATTTCCTTATTCTATAAGCTTTTTTCTATCTTTAAAACTTCTTTTTACTTTCTAAACTTTTTTGAGTAATGTGTGGTGCTATGATATTATGATGGCTGTGATGTCCCTGGGTGATACAAATTTTTCAGCTCCATTATAATCTCAAGGCATCACCATCTTATATGTGGTCCATCATTGACTGAACCGCTGTTATGCAATGCGTGACTGTATACCCAAGGGAGTTCCCCCTTTAAAAAATAAAGATAAAAAAGACTTGTTTCCTTTTATGCAAGCCCAGGACTACACTAATTCAATAATTCACCTTTCAGCCCCTAAAGTAGTTTACTTGCTACTTCTAGCCCTGACTGGCTTTAAAGGGAAATAATGTCAGTGTTAATCCTATTTGGTTACAAACAGTAAAGAAGTTAATGATTTGCCTTTTTAAGAGCTAGCCAGTATTCATTAGTGGCTTTGGATAATGTTTGCTCTGAGTAATGCAGGTGCTGTTTTCCTTTGTTGAACTCATCGTGTTTTCTACTTCCTCAATAATATTTCTTATTTCTTGAGAAATTATTGTGGCAGAAAATGTTAGCATAACCCAAAGCCTTTGAAATATCTATGGGTTTTTTTCAAGCTTAAAAATGTCCGTAGTATTGGTTTTTTTTTAACTAAAAACTAAGAGGCAAGATTGGCCAAAACCAGTAAGGTGACATTCAAAACGGATAAATGTGATGTTTTGCATATAGCGTGGAAAAAATCGATTTTATGAGTATACACCTTGGAGAACTGACCTGGCAGCAGTTCATTAAGAAATAAATGAATAACACCTGAGGGTTTGCGTTTACCACCTGCTCTGCATGAATTATTGGTGTCATGGGGCTGCTAAAAATAGATAAATTTTTAAGCTGCATTAATAAACATTTGGGTGATTGTACCCTCTATTTTTTTATGGCTTGGACTGCATCTTAAGTGTTATATTAAGTTGGGTTGTTTCAGAGGAAACACTTAAGAAGTTTGGAAGTTGCACTGAAGCATTTTTGACCACTTTTAACAGAGCTCACTGGACAAGAAACCTTGTCCAGCAGTTCAAGGAGAATTCCTTACAAATCAGTGAGCTTTATGTCAGAAGGGTTCAAAGTAGAATATTTGCTTCAGGAGTAGGAATTGTTTTCTGTAATGTTCTCTCTGTGTCCTGATGACTGAAACAATGCCTGGCACTTAGTGATTGCATATTTGAGTGAGAGACTAATGACCATCTCTCAGGAAGGATGGCCTCAGGGTCCACTCCTATAGTGAGACTATGTGATTTTAGATCCCACAAGGACCAATGATTTTATGTGAAAGAAATGATTAGCTGATAACATTGTAAGCCAAGTTAAAGGACTTCCAGATAAAATTTGACCTTAGCAACTTAATGACCTTTTACATATTTTCTGTTGCTAAATTTGGCTTTAGAATTTAGGTGTTTTAGTGACATTGTAATGAAAGGGTGATTTTTGATACTTCACTGATGGCCAAGATTAACCAGGCTGGTCTTAGTGGTTAGTTAGGTAACCTCTGGTGCCCTCGTTCGGTCAAAGAAGGTGACCTTCCCAGATGGAGGGAGACTGTTTTCCGTATGATTCTACAGGTAGTTGTGTTCCTCTTTTGGCAGTTCCTAAGAATGGCAACGCACTCTTTCTGATGGTGCTTTTCACATAATCGCAAAGTAACAACTTTGGGGTGGGGAGGCTTCTGTGCTCATGAACGAGTAAAAAGCAGCACGAAAGGAGGAAGTAACAGAAAATGAGATGAAATGAGATGTAAAAGTATATCTGAACTGGAAACGAGAAAATTCGATCAAATATATGGAGAAATCACTGTGTATGGGCCATGTGGAATTTCTTCAGAGATTTGGTAAACTAAAAGATATTCGTCCTGGTTACTTGTTCCTTTCTCTTTCTTTTGATGCCACCTCTCTCTTGCATCATAGAGCACCAAAACTACTTTGGAATCGATGAAAACCTTGGCCCGGTGGCAGTCAGCATCCGGAGAGAGAAAGTGGAAGATGCCAAGGAGAAAGAAGGGTCCCAGTTCAACTACAGGGTGGCTTTCAGGACAAGTGAGGTAATGGGACTGCTTTGTGTTGTTACCAGTCTGAATGCTGAACCACCTTCACTATTACTGCTTTAGTTTGTTTTAGATAGGGTACCAAATTTATTTTTTTTTAATGTTATGGTTGCAGCATTTAAGGTAATTGAAAAGGGTGTTGCAGTATTTTATTTCAAATGAAAAATTTGGCAACATGTCATGGATGTCAAGTGGCAATAATTTTACTGCTGCCTTACACCATAAAGGACAAAATAATAAAAATGGAACGTTTTGGGGGCTAAGACAGGGGACAAACATAAACTATACAATTCATGTCAGACTTTAAAAACAACTTTAAAATGTGATGCAGAAAATCAGGTCACCTGTGATGGGGTAAACATCTGACTCATGTTTTTACCAGCATAGTAGCTCTGTCTGTCCACACTTCCTTACGTTGAGGACCCAAGTTAGTTCCTTGCTTATCTTGCTTTGAGTGAAAAGTGAGATTGTTATACAAATGGCACAATATAAATAGCTAAATATGTGGAGGTGCTGATTTATATAAAGAATTAGATCTGAAGCCAGGTACAATGGTGTGTGCCTGTAGTCCCAGCTCCTCGGAGGCTGAGGCAAGAGGATCTCTTGAGCCCAGGAGTTTCAGGCTGCAGTGAGCTATGATTCTACCTCTGAATGGCCACTGCTCTCCAGCCTGGGCAATATAGTGAGACCCCATCTCTAAAAAGAAAAAAAAAAAAAGATTAGGTCTGGCCTGTACTTTAGGTTTTATTTGCTTAGCCCTTTTTAATTAGAGGGATATGATTAATATAGATGGCAAATATTACAGAATGTGAATTTTGGTTGAATATTTGCAGATCAAACAGAGAAAAGAGAGCCATTTTGTAGTTTCCTGCACTTTGTATGACATGTGTACCCCTGTGCATTGACCTAGACTCTATGCTGAGTATGTGAGATAAAGCCCCTTCCTCAAAGTGACATATTTTAAGTTACAGACCTATGCTGTCCAATCCAATAGCCATTAACCACAGGTGGTTGTTTAAATTTAAAATAATTAAATAAAATTAGAAATTCATTTTTTCAGTCACACTAGTCACATTTCAATTACTCAGAAGCCAGTGTGGCTAGTGGCTACTGTATTAGTGCAGATAGAGAACATTCTCGTCATTGCAGATAGTTCTGTTGGCCAGCGTTATGGAGAATCATGTAAACATTAGGTGTCCTTATGACCATCACCCCAGCTCCTGTCTTTAGTACTCTGACAACTCTGTTCTCAGTGTTAGAGGAGGTCAGATTAGAACCAGCTCTCTTGATTTTTGGTTCTGGGGTTTTTTCTCTCATCATACTAAATCGGAGGCATATGCTCAGAACATTGATCCCATGTTTCTGTGATATATTTGAGGACATCTAACACATGAGACAAAATTTGTTGGCAGTCTTCTCAGCCCCGAATCACCCAGCCCATAGATGCCACTGGCTGTCCCCATTCAGCCTGAGGAATGGAGAATTAAATAGAAGAAGATAAGAAAGGGAGTGGAAGAAAAGAAAATGTAGAGAAATGGGGAAATATTAAAAAGAAAAAAGGATTTCTGGGGCATGTTTCATCTTCTGAAAAGGAAAAAAAAAAAAAAAAAAGGATGGAAGAAGAGTGACTGTGGTTAGGCCCAGGATCATCGTCTAGTTTCTCCTTGGTATGAACCTTCCCATGCGGGTTCAGAGAGCTATAGGAATGTCTTAATTTTTATAGCCTTGCTCTGTCTTGTTTCTTCTCTTTCTTTGGAATACATCTGACCATTTCACCCCCACTTGGCTCACTCCTAACCCCTGTATAACTGTTGTTTAAAGACTATTTGACTGTTGATTTTGCTTCTTCAAATGGAATGCTTTAGCCCCTTTTGGCCCACTCAGAAAAGAGCCTTGCTTCTCTTCTTCCTTTTTAAAAGACAGCCAGACAATTAGGTTCTTAGTAGGTAACCAGGAATAAGTATTAACTGAAGTCTTATGTTTTGCCCTTGCAGCTTACAACACTGAGAGGAGCAATTTTAGAAGATGCTATACCCTCTACTGCTAGGCATGGTACTGCACGAGGACTACCTCTCAAAGAAGTTTTGGAGTATGTCATTCCTGAGTTGAGCATTCAGTGCCTGCGACAGGCTTCCAACTCACCCAAGGTCTCAGAGCAGCTGCTCAAGCTTGACGAACAAGGGGTGTGTATAATGTATGAAATTGTTTATGTGTGAATTTGTGTCTGTGTTTCTAAAAGGTGTGGAGTTTTCCCATCCATCTTTCTTTTAAGACCATTAATTTTAAATGCCTTGGAGCATTTTCTTTCTAGTTTTCCCCAAATATGCCTTTATACTAGTTTAGAAACATGATGCCCTTATAGTATAACCTACCTCTTGTTGAATTGTGACTTACTGTTTTTACCAAGGTTTTAGTATGTCCCAGCTAGCAAGAGCACATCAGATTGCATGATTAGTAGAGGTCAGTAGTGCTTTTTCCCAGGGTTTAAAAATCTCATGTTGACCCTTTCCCTGAACCAACATTTATTCTTGTCTACCATGTGCAACGCATCATGCTGACAGATGTGTGAACAGCATGCATTAGGAAGATTGAAGCTGACTAAAACCTAGTCCCTAGCCTACAAGGATAGTAAGACTGAGAGCACAAAGACTTCTGCAAGGCTGAGTATGGTAAGAGATCTTGGAGAGGTATAAATGCAGTGAGTGATTGGGGAAAGAAGAAAAAACGTTTGGCTGGATAAATCCCCTGAAGGAGGTGGCATTTTAACTGGGCCTTTGGACTTGGACAGAATTCTAAGAGGGAGATAGGAGTAGTTGGCAGTTTTAGGAACTTTGGCTAATCTAATTTCATTGCAAACAAAAAAAAAGGCGGGGGAAAAAAGTAAGTTGAAACTAGAACAAATGAGACCTTGAATTGTAGGCTAAGGAGTTCACACTTGATTTAGGCAATAGGGGGCCATTGAAGGTTTTCCATTAAGATGTGCCATGATGAGAGCTCTATTTTAGAAACATTATTCTGGTAGATGGGAATTGGATAGGCTCGTGAGGATAGAGACTGATGGTGACATGGAGCTCAATTATGTGATTATTTACATTGTCCAAGAGAGAATTAATGATGGACAGAATTGGGATGGTGGCCCAGAAGATGGAAAGAGTTCTTTAAAGTCTCATATGCAAATAACTTTTAGGGAAACTGAGAGGTAGCTACCCAAGTACATGTAATTTATTTTAAATGAGTGGATTTTTTTTAAATCCAAGATTTAAAAAAAGACAATGATAATGCATATTTTCAGAATTTCCCAAGGAAACTTCTTTTGCATGTTTTAGAGGAAATATGAGATATTTCTTGTTTGACCCAGTAGTAATACTGTGGTTAAAGTAGAATATTTGACACCTCAGATGGCTGGAATTCTAAAAGTGATGAAATTGTAATTGGTCTAACAAGTTAACACTGCATTATTAGCAAAAAGAAGCGGGCATTGTAACACTCAGAATGAATAATCCTGAAATCTGTCTGTCTTAGGAATGAAAGCTGACATAATTAAAAACAACAATAAAACCAAACCAAACTCTAAACTTGAGTAGTTGATTTCTAAAATTATGTGATACACACAATAGGTTTACCACAATCATGATTGGTAAAATATGTGGAGTATATGAAATGTACATTAAACAGTTGAGGAAAACGTATTGTGGAGGGGTAGAGAGGATATATGGGGTCCAAATGCCCAAAGTTCAGGCAGGCTGTCTGAGAAGAATGGCACTCATTTTCATATTGCAAGAGAGTTGGTGAAGGGAACTTGCCACCCATGTGGTAGTTCCTTGTCCCTGTATGTTCATAGAATATCTTGGTTCTCCCTTTAAATTATATCACTGTATTGCACTGCAAGTGTGTGATGGGTAAAGTGTTTGGTCCCCTGAGGCTGCCCTAGAAAACTCCATAGATGGTCCAAGTTCCCCTGAACCCCTCAAGGCTCTGCAGCTGCCACCCATCTGGGGATTCTCTTGCAGAGCAGTGAAAAGGGACATTATGGCCGTTGTAGTTGACTGTCTTCCTGCAGAATGGAGCAGGCATTTGAGATATCTGTGTAGTTGAATAAACCAGAGGCAGTTTTTAAAATTAGGCATTTTAAGTACTTTTAGTGAACACCAATTTACAAAAGGAATTAATTTTGAAAATTGGATACTGCTTTTATACAAACTAGTATATTTCATAGCTCTAGTTGTATTTCATGTTCTTTTTATTTAGATTTTATATTTGTTTGGTATACTTTCTTAATGGTATTCAGACTTAACCACAATATGGCATTTTAATTTCCCACAACTCTTAATAGTATCTGATTCCCATAATACGTGAAGAAAAGATACTGCTTGCTTTCATCTCTAAAAGAGATCGGACAGCCTTTTTTTAACATCTGGCTTCTAAGGGATCCTTAAAAGTTGCTGCTAACTTGTTAGGGGGGTTAAGTATTTATTCCATGTAGTGCTGTTTTTATTAATTTCCCTAATAATAAATCTGCCCAGGAGAAACTGGGCCAATTTTATGTTACTCTTCTAAGGGGTTTTTTTCCTACTCTTGAAAAAATATTTAAAATATAACCTAATTACCTATATTTCATATATATAATCACATATATTGCCAGTTTCTGTTTTCTTGGAGTTTGTAATGCATCCATGTTTAACGTACAGTCACTGAGTATATCTGCTCTGTGCCAGACCAGGTGTGGTAGGAGAATCCATAGGTGCTCAGATCATTCATGCCATTCTTTGAGTTTGGTAAGATGTTTGGAGGAGGAAGACTGAACACCTTGGAGAATTATAAGGAAAGTAGTTATGAAGAAGGACCTTGATGGTTTTGTTACTTTATCTACATAATTTCATCTCTCCACTTCTAAAATCCCATTTTTCCTTTTAAAAAGAACCATTCCAATTTATATAATAGTTAAGCTCACAAAATTATATAGGTTGACTTTTAAAAATGTATTATTTAAATGAATTATGAAAGCTCACTATCTTAGGATATCATGACATCTTTGACAACCGTGATTAATTAATTTGTTCTTAAGGCCAACAGTCCCCTTCTCTTGTCCACTAGCCCCAGATGTGTATGTTTACTTACATATCAGGTTTGCACCAAATGAAGTAAGCTGGTGTACGTGAATGAGACTACATGCTTAGAACAAGTAGAATAAGTCAGGAGAATGAAGTGGAAGGGGTTTACTGCACACTCAAATTTATTTTCAAGGCAGTTTTGACGCTTTGGGGTTTTTTCCACCTCATTTTAATTTAAATTTTCTTGTCAATAATGACAAAGCTTCTGGCCTTGGGAATAGAGCAGCCAGTTTTTATCCTGTCTGAGGAAGAAAATGAGACGTGTGCTGGATCCTCTGCTGTCTGGGCAGTATGTATGTATGTCCAGCTGTTATCACTGAAGCCATAGGGAGTTCCGACGAGTGAGTATTTTTAGTTTGCAGCAGTACTCACGCCTAAGTGCCAACCTAGTTTTATCCCAGGACAGTGAGACTGGCTACTGTTCACATTAGACCAGTTAGATAAAGGTCAGTGCAATGGGGTTAAATATTAGGTTCAGCCTGAGGTTTAGTGGGGTCAGAAATGAAGCCTTGGCCTGAGAGGATTAGGAATTTTAGGACATGGGGAACTGGAGTCTCTATTTTGCTTTATATCATAATGGAGCTGAAGAGTATGTTGCTAGCTTTCTGTTATACCCGGGGAGTAGTAGTAGTTGATACATTTTGATTATTTTCCAGGTTTCTGAAAGATACTCAGGTGAGAGAGGTCTCATTCTATTACTGTTTTAGTGGAATCACAGCCCTTATTGTAAATAAGCCAGTATTATTTATTCTAAGTCATTGGAGACTTTTAAGTTTCACCAGGAAAACTGATCAAACAGGCGATTGGTGAATACCAAGGAGCAGTAAACTTGTGGCATGCCATGTGTGTAACAAAGTATTTTCACTGGAGCCAGAATCTGGCAGCTGTCATGAGACACTCAGGGGCTTTGCAATCTGGTTTAGCCACATCTGCTGATTTCCTTGGGCCCAGGAGCTTCTTGAATGGAAACACAAATCCTCTTCACAGTTAGAATCTAGACACAGGCTTGTTTGTCTGATTGCTGGGAGGAGAGGGGTGTGAAGTTGACAGCACAACAGTTAGCAGTGAGTTCTTAATGGGATTTCAGTCCTCCAGTTACTTGGCCTTTGCCTGAACAAGCGTCCGCAAGAAATACCAAGTCTGCAAGAATCTCAGAGTCAGAGAAAGTGTTCCAGTCTAGCAAGGGCTATGCTTGACCACACCATGCCCAAACCCTGGGGCCCCAAACAGCCCTGCTCCAGGCCTCCCCTCAAAGAGCTGGATGTGAGCATAGGAAGAGGTTTTCTCCTGGATATGCCAGGGCAGACTGGGACAAGCTGCCGTGTGGCCTGGAGACACTCAGATGTGGTGACACATGGCACTGGCAGCGGTCTGAGGTGAGCAGCAGATAAAGGAGCAGAAGATGGCAAACAGGAACTGCAGCCACCAGGATGGAGTGAGCTCTGAGATGAGGATGATGGTGTGGTGGTCTCTGCTGGCTGCAGAGGAAACAGTGGGTACGGCGACACGCAGGCATTGGAGTTATGCGTGGCAGCCCTAGTATTCTGCTGTATTAATGGAGGATTAAAGCCAGGGCCAAATAACTGAAGAGCTGAAGTCTTCTCACAATGAAAGAGAAGTCAACTAACATGACATCAAGGATGTGAAGCAGTCATTTTGAGGCCATTATAGCATTAATACAGATTCCAGTAGTCACTAACAGCATCAGCCTCTGTGTACTACTTGCTAATCATGAGAGTTTCCCTAATGCACTTTAAGATCCTGCATGTCTTCTGAGTCACTCAGGAATGAGTAATGTTTATAATGAAGTGATATTAGGCATTTTTATTATACTTAATATTTTTTTGAAGATGATGGTCTGTTTGTAATAAATGTGGTATCTCATTGCTTTGGATAATTGAGTTGATCAGAAACATTTATTCCTCAATCTCTGGATGAATGGAATTTTTTTTTTCATTGACCTTACTAAAGAACTAGTTCAATAAAATTCATAATACTTGGTGTGTTAAGTAGCGTATGCACACCATCTGATACCCTCACACTCAGGGTATAGTCATCTTCACTGTGCAGTTGAGGAGCTTGTGGCTCTGACAGCAGCCAAGGCCCATGAACTACAATGCCATGGCATCCATTGATACAGGTAGTTGATTCGGTCAGATTGTAAACAGGTAATGTTTCCTTTTATATTCTCCCATAGCACTTAGTCACGATCTGAATGCATTCAGAATATATTGGCACTTGGCTCTACCTGCTCAACTCTCAGTTTATCAACTCTCGCACAGTGAATGTTTCCTGCGGTTGGCTGAGGTCACCCAGACAGGTGTCTTGTGCCTTACCTGCATTGTATGTTGTGATTAGGTAGTAATAGGGATGAGACTGCTTTCATCACTTTGCTGCTCAAGGGACATGAGCATCATGTTGCCTTATTTTGCTGCTGTAGTCAGCTATGAGTTTCGATTAAAGGCTCTACTTTACAGTTCGATAATGAAAGTGAACAGTCTTAGGGATTGATGTCTTTAGGGAATCAGTGATGTCTGATAATCTGTCGGTCCCTGAGGCTCAGATTGCTGATGATAAGCTTAAGAGCTCGACTGCATGAGTGAGAAGTAGTTCCTGTTTGGGGGAAATAAGAAAGCTGTAAAAATGAATCCAGTTTATTCCTGGGCTTGGGAGGAAGTCCTGCAGCTTCCAGCATGACATGACATTGACTGCGAGATACGATTATAGCAGGAACTCTTCAGTTGCCATTAAAATTCTTTATGGTGTACTATATATTTAGCAGATGTTTTGAAGATAGTCAAAAATGTAAGAAATGAATGTAATTGTACAGCCAGAGGTACTTTTATGGAAAGAAAACATTTTTCTGTTTATATACATATATCACAATTTCCATTGGGATCCTATCCTTACTAGACCTTAATTTGATTTGATTTTTTCCTTACAGTCCTACATATTTCCATGAATATTCAAGTAAATTAAAGAAGAAAAAAGACATTAAGAACCAGAGAAGGAAATCTTTTAAAAGTTCATGGCCTTTTTTTCTTCCAACTTAGACGATAATTCTAATTACTATATGAAGTGTATTAAGTATTTCCACAGTTGTATTTTTGAGTAGGTGCTTGAACTTGACTGCCTATCCTTTTTGGAACCTGGCAAATTGCACAGAGCCGTGGCCATGTATTTTATCTCTTAGGGTTTCTGACATTTCTTCAGCTGTATTTTGGGGTTTCTGGGTTTGTTATGTATTTGTAGCATTCCGTACATTGATAGCTGCCTATTCTTGCTTATTACTTATGGGGATCATTCTGGCATGCTTTCCTGAGAATGAAATTCTAAGCTTCTGTAGTTTTAATTTTACCGGAAGTTAGCTTGTCTGATATTCTTTGCCAAGTACTTACATTTCTTCCCCATTTCAGCTGAGCTTTCAACACAAGATTGGGATCCTCTATTGCAAAGCAGGCCAGAGCACAGAGGAAGAAATGTATAATAATGAGACGGCGGGACCAGCTTTTGAAGAATTCCTTGATCTTCTGGGCCAGAGAGTACGGCTGAAAGGATTTAGTAAATATCGAGCTCAGCTAGACAATAAAAGTAAGCTTCATATTTGTGTGCGGGCACAACTTTAATTCTCTAAAGGTAGACATACTGCGTAAATCTAAGCGAGAGATCACATGCCCTGCTGTTCCTGACCCCCGAAGCAGCCTAGCAGGCATATTTGGGATACAGTTTAGATTTCCTCAGATGAGCAAAGGAAGCACATTTCTCATGCAGTATGTGCTTCCCATCATAAGCTCAAAAGGTCAATTTTTTTTCCTTTGTAACACCAGCAGAGAGATTCCCCAGTGTTTCAGCAAGAATCTTTGAATATTTTTTTCTTTCTTTTAGCCTAACCTCTTCTATTATACCCTTGTTTCAGTGTATCAAGGACAAGAGCTGCATTCATTTCTAAAAGACAAAATATTAACACATTTCATTCATGCCATGTTATTGGGCTTGCTTATTTATTTATTTTTTGTTTATTTTTCATTTCCAGAGTCATGATGTTAACTGGGGAGTTGGAGCGATGATTAGAAAGCTGATGCATCCAGTTTTTCAAGGGCCTTAGTCAGGTCCCCTTGAGTGGTGCACATATTAGCTGCAAGGTGCCAGATTGGCCAATTCAAAACGTGGCCTGTATGCCCTCCTATGATGTACTGTTATTTAGTTGCTATCAGCACGTAAAATACCAGGCAGACCTAGCTCTCTGGGAGACCGAGCCGGGCGGATTGTTTGAGCTCAGGAGTTCGAAACCAGCCTGAGCAAGAGCGAGACCCCGTCTCTACTAAAATTAAAAAAAAACTTAATTGGACAACTAAAAATATATAGAAAAAATTATCCGGGCATGGTGGCGCATGCCTGTAATCCCAGCTACTCGGGAGGCTGAGGCAGGAGGATCGCTTGAGCCCAGGAGTTTGAGGTTGCTGTGAGCTAGGCTGACGCCACGGCACTCTAGTCCGGGAGGGCAACAGAGTGAGACTCTGTCTCAAAAAAAAAAAAAAAAATACCAGGCAGAGTAATTTTATATGTTTTGGAAAATTCTGCCTATTATCAAGTGATTAACTGCTTGGTCTTTTAATGAAAAGCGATGAGTAGATAGGTTCTAAACTTGGAGGATTTGAAAGAACATCTAGCCCCCACTCCTAGTAGGAGTGGCAAAAAGGGAGTTTCCACATGGGAGTGTCAGGGTGTGGCTGAGCCAGGATTAGAACCATGGAGGCCTTATGCCCTGTGGCTCCCTGCCTTCTATTCTCCTTAAGTCACAAAGCCCTGCCCCCAATACCCACTCAACTTGGGACCTCGGTGGATAAGCCGATATTCCCGCTGGAGGTGCCTGTAGTCAGTCTGTTTTTAGATGTTTTTGAAAATTGCAGTTCTAGGATAGATCACAAGACCCAGCAATGGTCTTAACTCACTGACAGGCACTGCGTGTCCTCCACACAGGGCTGGAGTTTGATTATTACTTTAAGAGTATGTTGCTCATGCCTCAAATATGTAAAGATAGGGAAATAATTCATGGCACCCAAAATATGAATATCCATATATTTCAAGAAAGATTAATGAGACCTTTTCTGATTTTCTTTCCCTTTTCTTTTCGAACTTCCCTTTCTTACAAACCACCATTCACCCCCTAGAGATGCTGATATACTGTCCTTAGGGATGTCCTTCCACTGCTGACATGAACTCTTGTTACTACGAGTATGTGTCCTCTCTCTCCAGTGGGCAGATTTAGAAAACATTTGAAGAACTTCTGATCTGTATAGCCCATAAAACTACAACATAGATAATCCAAATGTTTTTCTCTGTATAGAATTGACAATAGCTTTGAATTTTTATGACTTATGAGATGTCCTTGGTACATTACAGATGTGTAGTACTAAGCATCTTAGCTCAAGGAAATGAGAACATAACTAGATTTTGTTACGTTGACTCTAATAATCAACAAATCTTTAGGTTATTTTTATGAGCAAAGCGTTCTGTGAGATGCAAAAAAGTCTTAACATTCTTTTAGTAGAGAAGAGATGTCTAAGAATTAGGTATCATGGAATGGTCAAATAAAAATTATGTCTTTCAGGGAATGGACACATAAAAATCTTCCATTTAAAATTGGAGGGAATTGGGTTCTAGTTTTAACTTTATCTGCCCATAGGACTTTGGTCAAATCTGGGCCTCACTTTCCTCACAGAGAAAGTGTAGGGTGTTGGGCTAGGCTATCTGGGATATTCCTTCAAGCTCTAAAATGGGTTGTTTCTCTCTTGAGTACAAAATGAAATGGAGCAGGAACAGAGGAGATTTGAGCCACTAAGATGTTCTAGCCAGAGTGCAGAACCCCCACCACGGGCAGCCTTTATTGGTCTAGGTGCAAAGAATGATTAAACTAATAGCCCGTGTCCCTTTTTGAAGAGAAATATTTGCAGCAAACCCCAGAACCAGCCTTGTTAGTTTACCTTCTCTGTTACCATGCTGATGTTTCAGAAAGAGTTCAGAATATTTAATTTTAGAAATTCATCTTTTAGTACTGCTTGGGATAAGCAAATTATGAACACATTTTTAAAAGTGTTTTCCTCCTAGTACGTTTTTCTTCTTTCTCTGCAATTTCCTGAATCTAAAACCTAATATCAGTCAGCATTTCTCTTACTGATTTTTTTTTTTTTTTTTTTTTTTGAGAGAGGGTCTCACTTCATTGTCTGGGGTAGAGTGCAGTGGCATCATCATAGCTCACTGCAACCTCAAACGCTTGAGGCCCAGCGATCCTTCTGTCTCAGCCTCCCAAGCGGGTGAGACTATAGGCACATGCCACTATGCCCTGCTAATTTTTTTGTTTTTTGCAGAGATGGGGTCTCGCCATGTTGCTCAAACTAGTCTTAAACTCCTGACCTCAAGCAATCCTCCCACCTCAGCCTCCCAAAGTACCAGGATTACAGGCGTGAGCCACCATGGCTGGCCTCTCTTACTGAATTTTAACCATCCTAATAACAGTGTTGTGATGGGGGTCATTGAATGTACTGGGCTGTTTCATCATCCAGCCTCCAGTTTTGTTGTCAGTGAGTCAGCTGTTCACTGAAGGAGCGTTTGTTGTTCCCTTGTGACTGTGCTTGCTTGCTTCCAAAGCTGCGTTCACTGTCAGTGTTCTGGGCCAAGACAATTAAAATGGAATATTACTTTCTAAGAAGTTCCATGAAAAATAACAAGTATATATTTAATGAATAGTTAAAAGGAAAAATTTCTTCATTTTGGGACTGATTGATATACAGCTTATCTGATCATCTGTAAGTTAATTTATCAATATCTATAATGTAAACATTTTAAGACTCACCTTTTCATGAAAGCGCCTTCTATGAGTGTCTTTTCAGAGCATCCAAGAATTGTATATGATATTTTTTTCTAGAGAATTTTTAGGACTGTCTCTGAATTGGATATAAATATTGGAAAGAAAGACTTACCATAGAATTCAGAAAGAAAATGATAGAAGTCCATGAAGTTTGAATATTTTAGTGTTTTTAAAGTAAAAATTTATACCTGTAGGTTTAGAAAAGATTAACTTAAGATGCCTACTTAGGTTTCCCCCACAAACACAATGGAATAAATGGTGTTGAACAATGTGGTTTTTAGTTTGAAAAGTAGAAAATAGCCTGTATATAGATCAAGAATTGAGAAAAGCAGTCCTGAATTCTATTGGCATTTTACTTTCTATATATCTTTTTTGTCTTCATTTATCTATATGCAAAGAATCATTCAGAACTTCTCTCCAAAATTATTACTTAAATGTTTTATAGTCACTGGATTAGTTTGAGTGTCTGAAACTCTCAGTCTGAGGTAGTATCATTGATAATACAGATGGATTTTAAATTTTCAAAGAATCATTCTGCTCTTTGAAAGTTGAATAGCTTTATGATTAACAGAGCTTCGGATGCCATAGTGTTTTAACGTGTGTCAGTTTGTAATATACTGTGACATCACATTCATTTTCTGTATTCTTAATGCATACAATGTATTACTGCACTTCCTCTTGAAAGGAGAACAGATTATTACATCATTCAGGGAAGGAAATGTTTAAAATAATATTTCTTGTTCCCATTTCTATATTCAGTCAATTCCGTTTCATTTTTCTGTGTTCTGGAAGACTAAGTGCCCAGGAATAATTAAGAATTAACTGTAAACACACAAAAGGATACATATGGCAAAGCTATCTGCCGGTTAGCCTCACCTTTTAGATAATTGCACCCAGACCTGCACCGGCTTCTTTCCTGAGCTGCTTACCTGTGTGCCTGTTTGCAAGAGCACCTTGCCCTCAGTTGGTCACCTAAATCTGTATTATGAGGGCAAGAGCAGAAAGAAAAGGAGCCCCTTGGGCTGCAGCTGTGGGGTGAGAGGTGGTAGAAACAGTGTTTGGTGAGGACAGGATGTGCAACATCCAGATGCCAGTAGGGTATAGCTCTGTGGGGTTTTTTTTCAATCCAATTGCCTTTTGCAATAATAACCTAAGTGTTAATGCCCTAATTTTGTAGTTGCCTAACTTCTGTGATTCATCTGTGCTTTCAGGTGATTCCACGGGCACTCACTCCCTCTACACTACGTACAAAGACTATGAACTCATGTTCCACGTGTCCACCCTGCTTCCCTACATGCCCAACAACAGACAGCAGGTATGTCTTCTCCAGCCTCGGGCTTCCTACCCTGAGTGTGAAGTCTGAGGTCAGCCCACTGATGATATTGATGCATTTGGAATATGCAAAGAATCAGTAGAGTTTTTTTCTTGAATACCATTAATAATCTTTGGCTCCTTTATCATTTGGAAGTATTCAGCCTTCAAAAGGAGTATCATTGCACTTTTTCTTTGTAAAACTTAGAAACTCTTCTGCGCTCACCTTTATTGCTTACTAGGCAAAATCTTAAAAAGAAATTTGTGTCAATTGTATTAATTACAAAAGGGCCAATTATGTAGATCTGACTTAGGTTCCTGCATTTGGGTAAATACTTATTTATAGAAAATACCATTTGCTGTTGTTACTGGTGCTACTTTCAAACATTCATTCAGTTTTTATTGTTTTAATTGGATTTATTGACCTTTTTAAAGGAAAAAAATATTAGTGTACATCATGCTTTGAACACAGCCACTCAGTAAGAATTAAGAATTTTCAAAACTTGAATGATGCATAGAACATCACAAAATAATTCACATTACTTTTTTGTGTAACTGTAAAATGGGTTGAGCAAGTTCTTTTGAAAAGAGTGCTAGAAATGTTTTTGTTTTTTTTTCTTGTGCTAGAAATATTTGAAATGCCTTGTCCACTTTATGAGCTTGAGAGGACTTTGGGGGTTGTTTGGGATAGAAAACAATCTGTGTCTTGGATAGAGAAGATCTGTGGAGTAGAAAAGGCTCCATTCCACATCTTACTCAGAATCTTGTGGACTCTACCAATGTTAAGCTGAAGGCTTTTTGGAAAATATTGACTGCTGGAGTTTCTTCATATTTGTTTATGGAAACGTTTATAACTTACCGGGATCTTACAACTGATTCATTGGCATAATCTAATTTTAGGGGGTTGACTGTATCTGGGTTAAATCCAGAGTTAAAGTTTATTTTCACATTTAGGAAACTTAGTTCTTCTGAAGCCGCTTAACTCATACTCCTTTGCTCTAGATATATTAAAGCATCAAGGACTACTTCCTCAAGAGGTGTTTCTCAAATAAGTGAAACTTAATTGTTTCAGAGAATTTTTCTTTTTTTAAACACTCATAAAATTCTGTGAATTTAGTCAAAGTCTGCATATTTTCCAAAGAAGAACCAGCCTCCTTCCTCTCTTTCTCCCATCACTAGTTTCAGGAAGCACCTTAGCCTCGGACCCCACAGCCAGGATGAGAGGGCAGGCCCCTGGTTCCTAGGGCTCTTCACAGTGGGGACACTGCTTCCCCTCTTCATTCTTCTTCTCGTGGTCCTGGCTAGCTGGATTTTCTTGCCATTTTCCATCTATTACTTACCTCAATCCCTTGTCCTTCCTGAATTTTCTGCAGTGTTTTCTAGTAATTGTGTTCTTCCCACCACCTTCAGATGTTCTATCTCTAGATTACACACCTGTATATTTTTTATGAGCTAGACTTACAGTCACTAAATCACATGTGTATATTTATATATGTTTTAACCTAAAGGATTTTAGCCCTTAAAAATTTATTTGGAATAATACCAAACACATTTACTGGATATTAAGAGTCTTAGTTTAGACCAGTACGGTTTGATAATCGTGAATCATTCAGTAATTAAACTCCGTGGGAGTTGTTGCTCAGAAAACTGACAGGGCTTGCTCAGGCCAAGAAAGTCTGTCAGGACATTAGCAGAAATAGAGCCAGTGACTTTTGACCCCCGTCATCGAGTATTCAAACCACAAAGCCCTTCCAGTTCCCTACTGATTTGAGTCATTGGACTCCAAACTGAATTGGCCCCAGTGTTTCACGTGTGGCAGCCTTTAGAGTTTTGAAGTCTTTGCTGTTACCAGAACTCAAAACTGGTTTCCCTGCCCCCTTTCACGATACTGTAATTAAAATCTGTGGGCCTTGCCGTTCTCTGTGCGTGACTTAATTTCACTGAAACTGTCCTTGAAAAATTTCACACAAAAAATTAAGAGACCCAAGAAGGGAAAATGTAGATGGGAGGGGGGTGGTGGAAGGATGTATGTTAAACTTCTCAAACTGGAGATTAAAAGAAAAACACCTGTAAATTGAGGCTGTCCATCACAGACTTCATAGCCTGAAGGACATATTTTTTAGTTCACCTTTTTTGTTTTTGCCTTGATTGAGAGTCCATGGCATTGTATAAGGTATGCTGCTAGGTCAGAGGTGGAAAACAGTAAAAACTACTTGTTTTGTGTTTTTAATTGCACTTCCTGTATGTGGAAAAGGTATGATCCCATGTGTGGGTCATTGGGAAATCTGAGCCTGTCTCAGTCACTTGCCCAGTGGCCTTGGGTAAGCTTCTTAATCTGTCAAGAATTGTGATAATGATATGATGAGGCCATGACCAGTGTAGCTACTTGGAGCACTGTAGAGAGAAGGAGGAATCTAGACTAGCACCAGGCTCAGAGGGAGCGAACACCGTCCTTTAGAGATAGCGTCCATGGGTTTGGAAGTGGGAAAATGTGGCACACATGAGCATATTTGGACTAGATGATGTATAACATCCCCCTCACAGCGTGAGTGTCCTGTGATGCTAGGGCCATCTTTGAGGCTTACTTCGTCTAGGTTGAAAAGAAAGCTTTAGCAGAATACAGGTGTTAAGAGCAAGAATTCTGGAACCAGACTCCTTGGATTTGAATCCCAGCTACTAGCTTTGTGGCCTTGGGCAAGCTTCTCTATGTTTTAGTGTGCTTTGTCCCTGAGAGCAGAAATTTGTATCTGTTTTCACTGAGATGTCCCCCTGTACCTAGAAAAGTACCCAGAGCATGGTAAGTAGTCAATAAACATTTGTTCAATGAATAATGAATGAATGAACAAACCTTGCTTAGGTGGTAGTTTATGAGAATTAGATGAATGAATATATGCAAAGCACTTAAAATAGTGCCAAGCATGGATTGTGCTCAATAAATTCAAGTGGTTATTATTTTATAATTCATTAGATATAGAACACCAGTACTTTAGATCACTTAATTTTCATTTTATTTTCTTGTTCCCAGTTCTAAAGATGTATTATGAAAAGCTAAGGCCTGAATGGCTAAGAAAGGGAGGGACTATGTTTATCAATCATATCAGAAAGTTATTTTTACTTTGACATTTAATAAAATATTTCATTATTTATGAATTGTCATCAGAATGTTTTGTCTGTAGATAAATGATGCCCCTTTGCAATCTTGGGACATGTAATTTCCAAATTTTCATGGGTTGTATTGACTCTTTCCACTTTTCTCACTCACCCCACCCATTCCCACAAATTATGTTAATACCAAGAGCAGAACTGTCTGAAATGACCAACTGGGTTCATGAGTACAATCTGAGGCCACAGGACTTAGCAAAGTTAACTGGCCTGTACATGACTTGTGCCTGTAACTTTGGCCTCATTAGCACCACGGTGTTTGTAGCTGTTTAACTGGTCCAGACTCATCCACATCAGATCTAATTTCTTGTGTTCCTTCTTGTAATAAATCAAGCTGAAAGCTGATTCCAAGATGTATTAAATGTCTTGAGAGAGTTCACCATAGTTGCAAAAGAGTTTAATCTTTGGAATGTCTCTGACTCTCACAAAGAAAACCTAGCCAGACTGAGAGAATGATAAGAAACCTGGCTCTTGGAGTATTTTCTTTCTTCACAAGTTAAATCCCACAAATCTCTCTGGGCCTATTTGGCAATCTATCCACTTTTCCCAGAGCTGTCTTCCCCTGTGTGCGCTTCCCTTCTACTTGCCCTGTAGACAAACCATGATTAAGCCATCATGGGATGTCATCAGTAGAACTTCACAAATTAGCTTCAAACTTCATTTTTGAAGAGAAACAGTTACTTTAAGCTAGACATATAAAGCAGGTAGAGGCATCTCAGTGCCTGACACACAGTAACCTTTTTCTTTTTTAATGTATGCATGAAGTTTGAGCTGCTGTAGTTGGAAGGGGTACCCGAGCCCCATGGAGCTACCTAATCTGTAAGACCCAGCCCCTCAGTTTTTGAGATTACTATTGAAGGATACTGGTCTTACCCTAGTAATGGACTTGATGCCGTAGAGGTAACAGTGGCCCATCTTACTTCATTTGGACTACGCCTTGAACCCTTTTCTCCATATTAGTTAGACTGATGATAATAAGCCCCTGCCTTAAAGAGTCTGTGTACTTCCCTAAGTCCCTAATTGATACTGCTGAGGACCCATTTAAATACTGGAACAACCTGCCTGACTAAATGCTCTATGAGCAGGTCCTAAGTGTACTTAAGTTCACCTATAAATAATACTATAGAATGTTTTGAAAGGATAAAACACTTATGCAGCTTTCCATGATTAGCTTTATTCCCAGACCCTAAGTAGGAGTATATGCTTATGCTAGATAACAAGGATTGCAGCTTGGAATGAGAATTGGTATTGCCTAATGTCAGAAGAAAGATACTTATATCTTCATAATCTTGTTTTCATCTTTACTTTGTTATGAAGTCATTAAAAAAATCCACATTCTTAGATTATTTTTATTGTCCATTTTCAAAATATTCAGCTTAGCTGGTTTGTACATTTAATTTACTCTTGTGATTGGTAAAATATGATAATACAAAATGGTAAATCAGTGATGAATCCTTGAAACATTAATTAAATTTGATATGAGCTTCTTGTTGATCTGGGATAAGAATGGTTAGCTAATGTTCACTTGGGAAGGTAGGCTTTTCTTCTCTAAGTGTAGATCTTTTGTATTTATGTGATAATGTGCATAAGTTGCCTCTCCTTTGTTATTATTTAGAGTGGTTTTCTGTGTTCACTTTTTCCATGTTTTTCCATAGGAAACTCTAGCTGTCTCTTAAAAAGGCAAATTCTAATGACTGGTGCAAACTCTTGAGTATGGAGTCTATGAGGGGGCTGTGTGTGTGCACAGGTGCATGTGTGTGTGTATGAATGCAAAATTAGGACAGCCTCTCTAAAAGAGAATAATCCAGCCCTCTTGTGAAGGCGAGGAACTTTCCCACCAAGGGATTAGCAAGTGCAGAGTGCCTTGGGTAAAAACAAGTTGTCTTGTCGAAGGGACAGGGTGGCCGTCTAGAAGGTGAGGAATAGGTGAGGAGGTCAGAGAGGTAGGTAGGAAAGGATCAGTCAAGTCTAAGGAGTCTTTGTCGGCCCCTTCATATTGACAGGACTTAGACTCAAACCCAAGGACCAGGACTGAGTACTTGTGATTGCTTTCTCATGGGACATAGATGTGCTTCCTTCTGAAGACCTTCCCTGGAGCTCTGCTTCCTCCAGCTTCAGATGAGCTCTGTATTCTCTGACTCTTAGAAGCTTCTTCCGGACCATATTCTGGCTTGCTTCTCTTTCATATTGTACAGCTTTCCCTCAGAATTAGGTGCAAAATGCTTGATTCTTTCTTGCTAGGTTTTAAAAAAGAATTTAACAAATGAACCTATATATATATAGATATATAGAATCTGGTGGGTCTAATCTAGTTCAGCTTTATCCCATCTTGAATCCAGGTATTGCTGCCTGACACTTATTTATTTTCACTTCATTTTTTTTCCTCTCAATTTTGTTTTTGTTTTGTTTTTTACTTTTTAATTGATATATAATAGTTTTATACATTATATTTTAGGGGTACATGTTTTTTGATACTTATATGTAGTATGTAGTGATCAAATCAGGGTAACTAGGATATCCATCATTTCAGACATCTATCTTTTCTTTTCATTGGGAACATTACAGTTCTCTTCTAGCTATTTTGATACACGATAGATTGCTATTAACTGTAATATCCCTACTGTACTATTGAATACTAGAACTTATTACTCTTTCTAACTATATTTTTGCACCAATTTAAAACTGGTCTTATGAATCCTAAAGTGTGTTTAAGGAATTGTGACTAAACCTAATGCTATTATATATGCTGTTTCTTTAGCATCTGTATACTTTTGCCATGGAATTGGATAAAGACTCATGTTTTTCACTTTCTTTGTGATAACAAGAGCTTATTCCTGTTTCACAAGTTGAATTGAGTGTTGCAAATTTAGTAGAACTGACCATGTAAATCTATCTAATATCGTATTTATTAACACACTTATAATAAATTGATTCTCTTGGTGTCACTGAAAAAGCCTTATTAGTTTTACTTGCCTAGAAAGAAAATTACCCTAGAAGATGTCATTTCTTTAATTCCCCAAAACAAATAGTGCCTTCAGGTTTTGCTAGGCTGTATTTGTTCATGGTTTGCCATGCCTTTCCCCTTCCATTTACAGACTCTGATTATATAGACTTTCATTGACCATTTAGAAGAAAGCATAAACTAAATACCAAAGAAAACATTCATCGTTTTTAAGAAGGTCAAGAAATTACTTATTTCATGTTTGGAAAAATCTTAAAACAAAAAAATGAATAATATTTTTGTTAACTTTCCAAATGTTTAGTCTCTGAACAAATTCATGCATCCTGTGAATGGATAAAGTGTTCATTTTTATTATTATTTTATTCTCCTTCAAAGACCTTTAGATTTTACTCTTCTCAGTGAATCTCCTTATCCCCCCTTCCCACATTGCCTTATTTTTTTTTTCCCACAAAGCGTACTATGTCACCGTGGTTAAATTAATTAGACATTTAAAAAAAAAAACATTTTTTGGCCAGTTTCACAAAGCAAAAGAATATACTTAGAAAGGGACAAAAGCCATTTGGCATGTTGTCAAAGTAACCAGCCTTAAAGTTTCCTTTAACTTGTGCTTTAAATATTCCTATATTGGAGTATAGAGTTGGACCCAATGTCTTCCTTCCAGAGGAAGGGAAATTGAATAAGAATAGCTGTCCAATTTGCTGTTGCAGTCACAACAGCCAGGAGGCACCGACTGAGTCCATCCCTGAACTATGTTTGATTGAGAGGGCCGGCCAACATGCAGTAGCACACGTAATCACTCAGGAAGGAGGCGGCGTGGCACTCTCTGCTTGACTTTGACCATCGTGAATTCCATCTTCTGTCAGTCTGAGAATCCCCGTGTTTCCAGGATGTCGAATGGAAGTACGGCAGGAGCTACTATGTTTTCTATTCTGCAGATACACTGACAACAATATGAGGCATATTTTAAAGCTATTTATTTGTTCCTCATTTTCCCTGGTCTTATTACAGTACCTAGGAATTATGTATTTCAGTTACTGGGGAAAAGAGGGAAGAATGTCTTTGCCAAGTACAATTTTCATGGATTTTTTAACATGCATTTGAAATGACACATTTTACTTTACATATCTAGCAAACTTTTTTAAAACTACAGATTTAGCACATTGCCACACTAGAAAAAATTTTTTTTCCTTGGGACCACAGTGTTTTATTATGAAAATAGAATAAAAACTTCGAAAACAAAACGAATCCTTTCTAATTTAATGAAAAATTTGATATTTGTTATTGTTTTCTGTGCGTGAGTAATATGCAACTTGAAAAATAGTTCTTGCAGCTCCCAAGGTGAAGAGACGTGTGAGTTACATATGCTTCACGAGGCCCTGGGCTCAAAACTAGCGTGAGTTAAATACAACTCACATGGCAGTTAATGTGTTAAATGAGGTGGCCCACTGGGTCGGTATTATTACATATTAATGTATATTTCAAAACTTTACTCAGTAAGATAATTTTTGTGTGTTTTTAACTTTAACCATGGGGGTTTAAGTAGGAATTTTCTAGCACATGAGTCAGCGATTTAACTGGGCTGTAGAGAACTCTGAAAGAATGAACATTTCATTCCTACTCTTCTAGGCCTTTTATCATGCGAAATCACAAGTCAGGGACCTGACAATGAAATCCTTTTTGTATCTGGATTTAAAAGGCTTTAAAAGTTGAACTTAAATGCTCTTTACAGTGGAATATGCATTATAAGTGCCAAATAAATTTAAGGGCAAGATCATGGTCTTTGTTACTGCTAGTAAAAAGAGATTTACTGCCTGAAATTGTCCCATTCCACCAATGACATCACCAACTCATGTGAGGATTATTTTATGTATTAAAACTGAAGATCACAAATGTTTAGAGCACAGATCTATGCCTTCACTTGCATAAACTTATAGAGTGCCTTGTGTGGGAATTTATTGGCATGTGTTCACAGGAAAGAAGTGATCACAATTTTAATGCTCAGTGTTATATGTCAATAAACATATTTGTATTATTCATTTGTTTAGCAAATGTGTATCAGGTACTTACTCTGCTTAGCATGCCATTAGGAACTAGGAAGCCAAAAGTCAGTAAGAAACATGTCTGTCCTCGGGAAGGTTATGACATGATATGTAACCAATAGAAGACAGTACAACAATTAGTGCAATAGAAATAGGCCTGGGGGTGTAGGTGGGGTATCAAAGTAGTCTTGAAGAGGAAATTTCTTTCAGATGAGGTGACATCTGTGGAGACCTGAATTGTCTGGGAGAAACTTTGAGTGAAGGGAGCATTCGTGGCAGGAGGAACATCAAAGTAAAGGCACTGGTAAAATGGTGCTACTCTGGGCTTCCTTCTCTCCTGCCAGATTTGCAGTTTATAAGATTATAAACTATTGGGTTTTCTGGCTATTAATCCAGTGGAATTCTGTGTTTATGAATTACATTTAAAAAGCCAGGTTTCAATCAATTAGTTTGAATTATTACCAAAATGACAGCGTTCTGTATTTTTGTTGCAGAAATGCATGTTACTATGGGAGCACACAGTACAAGCTAGGGCCATTCAATGTAATAATGTAAGAGTGTTTTCAGCAAATCTGTACCCTCACTTGGACTCTGTCTCTTCCTTTTAAATTGAAAAACTTCAATTATAAAACTACTTAAAGTGTTATGAGTTCTAACATGCCATTATTTCAGTGGTCAAGAAAGAAGAAACTGGATAAAGATGAAAAGGAGAGAGAATACAAGTTGTATTTTAAAATAAAAGAGATAAATATTTAGGTGTTTCTTTCCACAGGTCTTTTGGATGAAGCCATTTTGCTTTGTCCGTGCCAAATTTGGGAGCACTAGCTTCCAAAGAATAATTCTGCTTTTTAAAATCACTTCTTTAACTGAAAGATAAGTGAATGTATATATTTAAATATTTTGTTTTAAAGAAAAACTTGCTGGTAACCCTGTGTATGTGTGTGTTCACTTTCTTGACCACAGCTTCTGAGGAAAAGGCACATAGGAAATGACATCGTAACCGTCGTCTTCCAAGAGCCTGGGGCACTTCCTTTCACTCCAAAGAGCATCCGGTCTCACTTTCAGCATGTCTTCGTCATAGTCAAAGTGCATAATCCGTGTACCGAAAATGTGTGTTATAGGTGAGTCAGTAACCCCTGATTTATCATTCTCCCAGCTTTATTTCAATAGAACGTCTTTTCCCAAAATATCTTTGTTTTCCAATTATTATTTCTAACTTCATAATTTTCTAATTACTCAGCCACTTTCTGTAAAAAGTAATTGCCTTCTTCCCATTTTTGCCCCCTTGAAAAAGTGAAATGCCCAGCAGTTCAAAATGGTAGATTACACATTTCCTCTGTTGTTCCCATAAAAACTGTATCCAGCCCCTGCCAGAATCAATAGTTGAACTGGTATCAGGCTTTCAGTTGGATGTTGTTGCCATTTAAGTTCTTCTTTAGGAGAAGTAAGTATTTGTGGCAGTAAAGTATTTTTTTCATCAAAGATCTTGGAAACACTACCACAGGGCTGCTGAAACCAGGAGTTGACACTTACTTTGGTGACTTCAAAAGGCCGTGTGCGCGCCTTGGAATTCTGAGGCTATTTCTGACAAGGCCTACTTTTAGTCTTTTACCCCTACTCTCAGATTCTGTCTTAGGAAACAGCTGCAGCTGAATGGTCATACTGTGTGGGGGATTGGTAAAAGAGTGGGCCTTGACCCAAGTTTGAATCCACCTTTACTGTTTATCATGGGGCTTTGTGTAAATTGTTTTATTTTTGTTAGCCTTAAATTCCTTATCTTAAAACTAAAGATAATAGTACCTACTTAAAAACGTGATGATGAAGAAAAATATCTTAAATTATGGAAAACACCTATTTAGAGTTCCTGGCATTCATCCAAGGTTATTTTTGTTTATAATCTTAAACAGTAGTTGTGAATTCAGCTTCCCACTGGGTTAGGCCTGGGACATGAATATTCGTTGTGAGAGCATGGTGGACCCTTGAAGACTGCAGAGCTTGCCCTTGAAAGGCAAAAGAGAAACTAGTCTATATGTGAGATGTTGCCAGTTTATATTCTACCCAATGTCTAACCCATCTTAGGAGAATAGAGTCTGAAAACCAGTAGTTTTTAACCTGAATTTTGCCGCCTCGTCATTTTGTAAAACACAGGGAGTCTCTGGCCCCACTGTGCAGTGTTCTAATGTAATAGACCTGCAGGCTGCCACAGCATCTGCGTGTTTTCCTCTCATGGCATTCTTATACAAATCTGGGTTTAAGACCACTGGCCTAAAAGCTCAGAACTACTTTAAATAAATGATATTTGAAGAAATCTAGTATCTATTCTGTACAAATGATATGCTTAAAATAGATAATGTTAGTACAAACGTGTTGAGTTGGCTTTTTTCTCTGGGATCTCACCCAGTGAAAGGTAATTATGAAGAATACTTTTAAAATGAACCTTCCTAATGGATTGGAAACTTAAGCCTAGGGTTTTATTGCATTTGGTGTAATTTTATTGGCTGCTATTTTTAGGTAGAATCAAGTACTTTTAATTATTTTCCATCTTTATGTTTATATCATGAAGTGGTTCACTAGTAAACAAAATCATAAAGATGAGTTATATCTATTCATTTTTATTTCTTTTAGGTTTTCTGGTTTTAATTAAGTTACTGGGGAAAAAATGTTGAAGCCAGTGTAGATCTTACATATAAACAAAGTACATTGCATTATTTTTTCTCTGATAAAAGATAGCATATGCAAATAATTCAGAGATGGAGTCACTGGTTTTTAAGAAACCACATTGTTATCACTAAATTAACATTTCCTAATGAAAGTCAAATGCAAAGTCAGTAGAGTGCCTCAAATTTTTGTAAGTGCCTCCTCAGCTTCATTGATGTTACTTAAAAACATCACTAGTATTCCTTAAAGAATCAATAATAATAATAATCTTCAGGAATCCTGTGGTTCTACCCTGAGGCATGGCAGGATTAAGTAACTGGCTCTAACGCACTCAGTAGTACAGCTGGATGCCATGAGGGTGCTGAGTCCAGAGTGTGCTTCTTATCAATTTATTGCCTTTTGACCACCAGGCTTTACTAAAACCTCTTCATGTGCATATTTTTATTTTTGCTTTTGGTAGAGGGGTCTTGTATATCTAAATCATTTAATAAATGCTATCAGGTTGTTTGGGTAAAATAAGGAATTGTGGTACACATTCTCATTTCATCACGTTGGGAATACCAAAGAGTATTCCTTCTAATTTCAACTCTACTGAAAGAGTTAAGGATCATATAAACTTTTGTAACCAGCAATCTCTATTTTATCCCCATGCCCAGAATATCACAGTAATCATGAAATAGCCATGATTAAATTCTGTTGCTTCTCTAGTACAACTTTAAAAATGCACAGGATTACAGTTTATTTAAGCAGAATATAGCATACATTATAGAGAGAATCTTTAATTAGATATTAGGGTCTATAATTTGGTCCAAAACGAATTGCCCTTTGAAAAGTTAGAGTCACTGTGCCTCCCTCTGTCCACTATGTAATACCACAGTGACAGCCATCTTTGAGCATATTTAGATATAAGAAATTTCCTGACATTTTAACTTAAGTGCATGCAAGCTGCAGAATAACACAAGATCCACAGAGTTAATGTAAAAAAAAAAAAAAAAAATCCTTCAAAGCTGTGGTCCCCAACCCCACAGCCTCCGCCCAGTACTGGTCTGTGGCCTGTGAGGAACCGGGCCATGCATCACCACTTGAGCTCCACCTGCCCCACTTCCCTTCTCCCCCACCGCTTCTGCCAGTCCATGAAAAAATTGTCTTCCGTGAAACTTAGGAACCTGGCCATAGAGCATAGGTGGGTGGTGGGCGAGTGAGTGAAGCTTCATCTGTATTTACAGCCATTCCCCATTGCTCACATCACTGCCTGAGCTCTGCTTCCCCCAGCCCCCATCTGTGGAAAATTATCTTCCAGGAAACCTGTCCCTGGTGCCAAAAAGGTTGGGGATTGCTGCTTCAAAGTCTCAAATGAAATTTGGCCTTCTCAGCATTCCGTGGGTAAAATACTGCTGGGAAGCTGGGCATGGTGGCTCACGCCTATAATCCCAGCACTGGAAGGCTGAGGCAGGAAGATCACTTGAGGCCAGGAGTCTAAGACCAGCCTGGGCAACATAGCAAGACCCCATCTCTACAAAAGAATAAGAAAAATTAGTCTTTCATACCAGGGAAGACCCCTTTACCGCCAGCCATCCGTCTTGCTGCTGTATGTAATTAACTCCGCTGAAGAGTGTGCAAGTTAAAGCACAGGTGAGAGATACCCAGAGCCTGTGATCTTTTTACAGTCTAACAACCACATTTCAGAAGAGTAAGTAAGTTTGCATCTTACAGAACAAATTTGGACAGAATATTTTCATGTCTTAATTCATCCCAGGATTTTCTACAGTAGTGAAAACGAAGCAAAGATTGCTTCCTTTCATTACCCCAACATAGCAGATATCTGCCTGGGCAGATGTGGGATTAGTACGAATTCTTGGTCTGTAGTAGCTACTCAGTAATTGAGGAGCAGATGCTCGAGATGCTGTGGGATTCATTCATTTGCTTAGTTATCCTAATCATTCCTTTGTTAATTCATTGATTCACTCTATAATTTATCTTATTCAGAAAAGAACTTGAGACAACTAAAGCAGCTGTCTGATGTAGGAGAGCATTATTGGTTTTGATAGATTAAGATGATTGTTATCAATATACATTTGATCATTTCAGTCCCTGGGATCTCTGCATACTTTACTCCCATAAAGCCTTCTTTAGATTTTTTAAATGTGATGAAGTAAAGTGAGCATTTCCTTAAAAATACTGACACTTAAAAATTTTGGCCCTGTAAGTACGATCATTCTGTCCTATGTCATTGAGATTCCATGAAGCCAACTGGGGCTAAATGCACTGTGGCTGGAAGTGTTACTGTCTTTCTCAGTGATAATCAGCCCCACAGAGTTAGGGAGCCAACCTGCTTCCATGTAAAACTTACCCTGCCTGCTGTGGATCCATGACCCCTACACTTGCTAGCACTGTCGTACAGATACCACAGCCTGGGTGGCTTAAACAGCAGACAGTTATTTTATCATAAATAAGACAAAGATGTCCTTTCTCGTGGAGCCTGGAAGTCTAAGATAAAGGTGTTGGTGGGGTTGGTTTCTACAGAAACCTCTCTCCTTGTCTTATGGTTAGCTGTCTTCTCCCTGTGTCTTCATGTGGCTTCCCTCTATGTGCATGTATCCTTGGTATCTCTTTGTATGCCCAAATTTCCTCCTCTTATAAAAACACTAGTTGGTTGGATTAGGGACCGCACCAACGGCCTCATTTTAACTTAATCACCTCTTTAAAGGCCCTACCTCCAGATACAGGCACATTCCCAGGTACTGTGGGTTATGACTTCAACATGTGGATTTTGACAGGGATAGAATTCAGCCCATAATACCTCCTTTCTACTAACTTTAAAACATTTTTCTTAAAAATAAAATCCCCCTTGGTATCCAGAAATTAGAAGAACACAAACCTATGAAATAGACCAGTTAAATTGAAAGTGTGGGTGTATGCCAAATTTTAGAAAGTAAGTATTATGATATCATAGCCCATCTCATTTCATTTCTCTTTTTTCTTCCTCAGTGTTGGAGTTTCCAGATCAAAAGACGTGCCACCTTTTGGTCCACCAATTCCCAAAGGTGTAACTTTTCCAAAGTCAGCAGTGTTTCGGGACTTCCTTTTAGCCAAAGTAATCAATGCAGAAAATGCAGCCCATAAATCGGAAAAGTTTCGAGCAATGGCCACTCGAACGAGGCAAGAGTACTTGAAAGATCTGGCGGAGAACTTTGTCACAACCGCCACTGTGGATACCTCTGTGAAGTTCAGCTTCATTACACTGGGTGCAAAGAAAAAGGAGAAGGTAAAGCCAAGGAAGGATGCCCATTTGTACAGCATCGGAGCAATCATGTGGCATGTGGTAGCACGGGACTTTGGCCAGTCTGCTGACATTGAATGTCTTCTTGGAATTTCCAATGAGTTCATAATGCTGATTGAAAAGGATTCCAAGAACGTTGTATTTAACTGTTCCTGCAGGGATGTTATTGGGTGGACATCTGGATTAATGAGTATCAAAGTGTTTTATGAAAGAGGAGAATGTATCCTTCTGTCCTCAGTGGATAACTGCGCTGAAGACATAAGGGAAATTGTCCAGCGATTAGTAGTAAGTACATGTTTTGTATTTTCCACCATCCTTAAGTCTTCAATCCCAGATTCGTAATAACTTCCCGTCAGGAAATCCCACCATGATTGCAGCACTTAAAGAATGAATTACTGTTTCTTAGGGATACAGAGCTTAATTTTAAATGCTGGGTTTTTTTGAATTGTTGCTAAATACACAAATGGTGGAGAACCATCCTTCATAAATTGATTGGAAAAGTCAATTTCCAAGAGAGAACATTGGGATATATTTTTATAATATTTGAAAGAAAAACAGAATTGTGTAGACTAGATATTATGTCCGTTGGTAGAGACTTAGATGACACGCCAGCTCAGTGCGTAATTAATGGGTACACAACTGCTGTTCATTATGAATGATGAGTCCTGTTGGCAGTTTCAACTTTGTGCATGTTTATACAGCAGGTATTTTTATTTAATCAGCCAGATTAAATATATCATTAATCTTCTAGCCACAATTTCTTAAGGAGGTCTTGCCGAATTAGCCATTAAGTTAGAAAGAAAAAAAAAAGA